ACACGGATAACCAGATGTTTGCCATTTCATACAACTACACGTCTTTGCATTTAGATCGACAAGCCCATTTAAGTTATTATCCAGTACTTCAAACAAAGTGTTTGAACATGGTTCAACTCTCCATGACATTGACTTCACAACACGTTTCGTTATCTTTTTTTCTGTCCATGGTGTAACACGATGTTCCAATGCTCCTCTAAATTTAAATAAATAATACTTAGTAAAATATATGATAAGTTACGAATTTAAAGAAATAATACATGCATGGTTTCTTTTCTTGTAGTACCACTGTTGAATAGAGGCTCGAAAAAACTCCATTAACATAGTAATGGGTAATTTCCGGGAATGACGACTTAGAGCGTTGATTGATTCTGCACTATTAGACGTTATGAAACCATATCTTGCTCCAAGTTGATGTACTCTTGTCCATCTTTCAAACCCGACATCTTCTAGTGTTTGAGCACACTGAGGCAAAACACGTCTTAAACACTTTATATGCTTATTAAAATTCACTTCCCGATAAGCTTTTACAGCCTTCCAGTATGTCCATTTGTGATTTTTTATACCAGCAGACCTTGATTTTAGATTTCTATACAAATGAACTCCACAAAGTCCATGAAAAGCATCTGGGAAACACCTTCTAACAACGTTGTCAATTGAGTTTGCCCTATCGAATATGATTGTCAGATTGCTAATAGGACCTATGCAATCCCTAAGATGCCCCATAAACCATGTCCATGAATCAGAGGTTTCAAATTTTCCAACCCCGTAAGCTATTGGCAGTATCCCATTGTTAGCATCCATGGCTACTGCTAATAAGTTTACTCCAAGATATCGACCTTTTAAATGTGCTCCGTCAACTATAATAATTGGGCGCATGCAATTAATAAACGAACGAATCTACAAAATCATATACACAAGAAATATAATCATTTAAATGTGAAATGCATGTAACTAACAAAAATGAGTCAACAAAATTATATTGATTTACTAACCGCAGCACCAATGGCGATAAACATCAACTCAAAGCGTCCATCTCTATATGTTTTGATATGAGTTACCGACCAAGGATTTTTCAGCTTTAAATTATGACAATAAGCCGGCAGTTGGGCAAACGATGCTTCTGGCGACCCCCTCAACAATTCCAACGCATAATATTTGGCTCTTCAAGCTTGAGAATATGAGATACTAATCTTGAACCGAGCATTCATGTCAGTCATAATTTCATATCCCCGATATACCCTACCATTCAAAAACATTAACTTAGCCAGAAAACCACCCAACACCGTTTTGTTTGCCTGTCTATGGTGAGGAAAAACTTGGGTTCTTGAACATGTATGTTTATCAATAAAAGTCCTAACTTGAAACATTTCGCAATCTTTTATCCTCTTTGCAATCATACGCCACATACAGTTTTTGTCAATCATACACCTTGTTTCGAAACGATCTTTGCTTGATTTGTTAACTTTTAGTTGATAGCCATCTTCCACACATTTCGTATACAAAGCTATCTTCAAGTCTTCCTTTGTATCAAAACAATCATCTTTCTTGATACGAATAATTTTTGTGTGACAATCAACTGCTATCTTTACCAACTCTTCTTCCGGTATCTGAAGTAATTCTGGCATATTCCAGTTATACTCCCGTGGTATTTTCTCCGGGGGACTTTTCTTTGGGGATTTCTTCTTCTTCTTTTTTCTTCTTCAGTGTTATATGAATTACAGAATGGATGTTCAACATGTTCATTTACAGTCGTAACTTCCTCCTCATTATCATCAACAACATCTTCCTCGGCAACGGCTGTTTCATCATCAAAATTCGGGTATTGACCAATATCAAAATCATTACACGCAAGGTCTGTTTCTTCTTTTGAAAAATCATCAAAATCCGAGTATTGACCAAGATCAAAGTCCGGGTATTGACCAAGATCAAATTTCGAATACTGACTAGTACTCACAATTTTTTTTGTTGGCTCATCATCGTCTAACTGGTCAATACGAAAATCGGAATTTGGTGCTGAAAGTTGATTGGGATTTGGATTAGGGAAAGGTTGTGAGTTTTGAGATTGTGTTTGGTATTGGAAATGTGGTGAAACAATATTTGCTTGGTGATGAAATTGTGGTGGAACCATTAAATTTTGAGCACCATAAACTGGGGTTGAAAAACTTAGTTGATTACTACCCGCTACTGACCCAACTTCACTACTTCTAGGTTCACTAACATACAATGTAACATCATCACTTGAAACACTAATGTAAGCAATGAATCGTTCAACATCTTCATTGTCGGTTAACAAATAAACTTTACCATTTCTCTAATAAGATAGCCTAAATCCACTTAGGGGCTCTAAATTCAATTTATTTGCAACACGTAACATTAGAGTTTCATAAGTTAACTTTTTTAATGACAGTTTTAGTTGAAGATTCATGGGTAAAGGCATATATTGTAAAACACCATGAACATTCTCCCATGACCCTCTAAAACACAAATCTATCCAAACATGATCAACATTAGATGATTTCATTATTGTAAATTAATTTACTAAACAAACGAGCTGCAAAACTAAAACCTGTTGCCGAATGGGGAAGGATATCGTTGGATATAGGAACGGATGTCATCGGAGAGAGTGATAGATGGAGATGGAATGAGTTGCGATTTAGGGATTTAGGTTATGAGTTGCTGCTGCTGCGTATTTATATACCCAAAATATTTGTGTTGCGAAATTAAAACCTGTTGCGAATTCAGAAATCGAGTTGCGAATTTGAAATTCAGTATTGCGATAGTCAGAATCTCGTTGCGATTACGTAAATCGCATTGCGAATTAGGAAAATCACAACGCGAATTTGGGAAATCGCAATGCGATAGTCAGAATCGCGTTGCAAATCTGGAAACTGATTTGCGATACCGGAGATCGCGTTGCGAATTATCGATCGCATTGCGATTTAGTTGGACATTTTGGCAAATCCAAAAAAAGTTGATTAAAATCGTATATTATAAGGCATTTTTGGTCACTGAGGTTATTTTCTCGATTATTAATGGGTTTACATTTAAAATATGTATTGAATATGTAATATTTTTTACATCAATTAATTGATTGATTTTAAATTAAATTACTTTATAATTATTTTTTCAAATATTAATTATTAATCGATCTTATATCTAATTATTGATTTGAATTGAAATTTAATTTAATTAATTAATTTGATCAAAATCCAACAATAAATATCTTATCTGAAACTAGTCCGTACCTAGTGCAGAAGCGTCCCATTTTCTTGACCTCGCTGTCGTATTCCATTGACCGTCAGTGCGACACGCCAAACAGAACCAAAAGACGTTGCTGCCCTTAGAACCCGGGCTGGCAAAAGCCCATCGTCAAGCCCAAAATAAGACTGCGATCCTCTCCATTTAGTTCTATATCCATTAGAATACAGCCTGCTTTGCTTGATCCAGATATTATTGTTAATGGCAATTTTGGCTCAATACCATCTGCGGACTAATTATTTAGTCCAGTACAATATTAAATATTTTATTTTAGAAATTATAACATTTGTTATAATAACTTGGAACTCATCAAATGGATATGAGGATTTTTAATAAAATATATTTTTTATTCAAAAAAATACTACTTTATACTCATTGAATGTGTATACACAAATACTACTTTATAATCACCTTCAATTATTAAAAAAATATTTTCTAATTATTCTGATTAATTAATTATTTTATCAAAATTTCTTAAAGAGTAATTAAAGATATGCCGATTTAAATTGATAAATTTTATTTTTATGATTTTATTATTTTAAATACATCTCGTTTTATATATAACTGTACAAATTTTAGTAACTTTTAGATTGTTTTTGTTTAAGTGACAGGCCTTGGATGACGTTAGCATGGGAGAAAGATTACATGTGACATGCCACGTAAGTAAAAGTATTTTCTTAATGAAAAGTCTTTGAAATAAATGTAGATGTGTTTTCGTCTTGTGTGAAAGAACTAAATGTCATTTTAAAAATTAAATTTTTTTGGGTTCTATTTTAATTAAAATATATTATTTCAACAATTTAGTTTTTTTTAATCCAAACTTTTTTTTTTCTTCAAGTTTAATAATGTTCTTGTCCAAACTCTTGCTATATAGTTCTAGTTCCTATCCAGATTTGCGGCAAACATATTGAGAGAGATTTATGTTGCAGTAGGGGCCAAGCTCCATCGTGAGGACATGTTTCAGACATGTTCCTTTATGGTAAGAGGTGGGTGGCTTCCCTGTAGGTTTCCTAATGGGTGTCTTTCCCTTTCATTAAGTCACTTTCTTTCTCGAATTGATATAATAATATATGAGAGCATAGATTATGTCACATATTCGTGTACCACATAGGCTAGTTAGGTATACTCCCTCTAAAACACATGCCCCCCCCCCCAGCTAGCTAGCTCACCCCTTGCACCTTTCATCTCCCTTTCTTGTCGTATGATAAAACTCGAAATTTGAGTATTAACTTAATTGATATCGTTGTTATCATAATCCATGAAAGGATATGAATCCAAATGCTTTACGTATATAATCTTTCAATTTATAAGGTGTGGAGATGATATACAAAAAATATAATACTAAAACATATTTTTATCGTTTGATTAATAGTTATTTTGATTTTCTTCTCTTGAATATTTTGGATACCAATATTTTATTTTTGGGGAAAATACTTTTTTTATAAATGAAAATCGTTAGTTAACAAATGATTAATGTTTCAAAACATGTGTTTTTATACTCTAAAACAAAATGTTAAAGACCAAAATACTCTAGAAGAAAGAATAATGGTCAAATTGATTATTTAATCAAATATTAGAATTTTTTTATCGTAAGATGGAATTTTAGAGCTAAAATGCTCCCGGAGAAGGGATTATAACAACCATTTATTAAAATGTCGAGGACCAAATTGGACTAAATTTGATATCAGGTATATATATAAAAAAAACCCTGAAAACTGCACTTTCATGCACGGATAAAATTAAAGGTCATAACATTTAGGAGGATGCATTGAATCCAGATGAAATTGTGTCAAGAACAAAGCTGATAAGTGTTCCATTGGGACCCTTAAACTAAACTGAGCACCTTGCGACTCACATGAACCAGTCTACTTTACCTAAAATTTACCTATACGTCGGATATCTTCCAGACCTTTTTCACACAACTTGTATACATCTTAGATAGCCTTTTTTGCTTGGTGCAATACTTGTTCATCCATGCTACACAATATACTAGTAGATAATTTCCCCCATAATGACCCCTTTTTTTATGGTATATTTTCATCTCCATCATCTTTTGAATGTTTGATCATGTTGTAATGGCTCAACCCAATCTCGATTGCTTCGTCTTGTATGGTCCTCGGTGCCGACGAGTTGCACGAATGCCATCTAGACCAGAAGAGATAGTTTAGGAAATTGAGGAAGCTAATGACTGCTAGCAACCAGTAGAAGAGGTCTAGCCTATCGTTGTTGAGATTGTTGTCGCTAAGCCAACCGCCTTTCGTGGAAGTCGATGTGATGTTATTCACAAGGGAGACGAGTACCGAGCTCAAGTAAAACCCGAATGAGTATGAACAATAGGTCATCGCCAGGAGGAACGATTGCATCCCTTGCAAGGATTGTTTGTAGAAGAACTCGATGAGGCCGACCGCCGTAAGCATCTCCGATAGTCCGAAGATCAAAAATTGTGGTGTGATCCAAAAGATGGAAATTATTTCGCCCGAACCCGTCGCAGAGTCCCTCCTCTTCTTCTCCATAAGCGCAGCAGCGATCATGGAAAAGGTTGCAAGGAAAAGACCGGACCCTATTCGATGTAGAGGTGAAATCCCGGATTCGTGACCGGTGATCTTTCTCGCAAACGGTACGAAGAATTTGTCATACAACGGGACTAGGAAGATGAGTATGATGTAAGGGATGGACTGAAGGGAAGCCGGCGGGATGTGGAAAGATTTGGTCAGCTGAGTGCCCATTGCACTTCCTTGTTGCACCGAGAACGTTTGCAATTGAGCCAAAATGGTATTGAAAACAATGGTGCTGGCAAATATCGGAATGATGGAAATCAATATCTTCACTTGCTCCACTTGTGCAACACTGCACAATCTCCATGGATTCTCCTTTGCATTGCTTCCATCTTCAACTTTGATGCACGCCTTGTCCAAGAACCCGAACCTTTGTGTCCGAAACACATTTTCGGATTCCGAATGCAATCGAGAAGCCGAAGTACAAATCAGTTTCCTCTTCGACACGGCCGCCACAAACACCTGAGCAATGGGGGTGAAGATGCTTCCTCTAGGTGGCTTGTTTCTATAATACAATGTCCCGGAGACCACGACGATTAGTCCCATCGCCATGGCGGCAGCCGAGACTCCAAATCCAACATCCATACCAGCGTGAGTTTGGACCCATACGAGGACGGTTAAGGCGACGAGTTCGCCCATGGAGAAGGCGAAATAGGCGGCATTGAAGTAGGTGGACAGCTTCTTGGAGTGTGTGGGGTTATTTTGAGCATCGAACTGATCAGCTCCATGAGCAATCATGTTGGGTTTAACGCATCCACTTCCTAGTGCCACCAGGTAAAGTGCCACGAAGAATATCAAGGCCTTGAAGCCTTTTGCTTCAACGCAGTCGTCTCCATCGGTTAACATGTTGCACTTTGTTGGCTTGAGTTGGGGAAGATGAGCTTGGACCGACAGTAATATGAAACCCTACAGTATATTCACGAAGAAATAAAAACCATAAATTAGCGGTTCATCTATTATAATTTGAATGAAGAATCATGTCCGATGAGATATGACTCGTAATTTTCTGTGAGATAGATGAAAGCGTAAGAGACAAGTGTTTACGGAGAGCTCGACGAAGCCAAAGAGGAGGATGGTCCAGAAGCAGCCGAGATGAGAGTCGGAGAGATAGCCGCCGAGGAGGGACAAAAGGAAGATTGTTCCGACAAAGTTGGTGACAATGTTGGCTGATTTTGACAGGGAGAAGTGCATCTCATTTATCAAATATGTTATAAGGTTGTTCCCTACTGCTGCTATTCCCATTATCTCAAATGCTTGCAGCCCTGCATCATTCACACCACCCACACTTGCATTATTTATTTATTTATTTATTTATTATATCTTCCATTAAAATTATTACGTGACAGAGAATTAAACCAATTCATATGCATGCACTTCTATAAAATTCATTATTTTATTCATCATGAAATAAATGTTGACATTATATATATTTTTATTTTAATTATTTATATTAAAATAACTATTTCGTTATAATTTTAAGATGAATTATTTTTTTTTTGTTTAGAAATTTATTTATTCTCTGTTGATGAGTTATTCAGTCTTATAATTTGTTTTTACAGAATTTTAAGATTTTTTAATTCAAAATAAATAAAATAAAAATCGAATATTGAGAGTTAAAAGTTTGATTTTTTTTTTGAATTTTACTTTTAAATAAATAGATTTTTAAAATTGGAGTGCTTAAAAATATTTTTCGGGACATAAGGTTTGTTTGCCATGATATCCAAAATGACTTTACCACTTTTTTTTTTTCATCTCATTATAATTTCATAATTTCCCCTCTTTTTCTTTTCTAAGAAAATAAAAAGTCGTAGAAGAGGATATAAACGATGTCACGCGTCAAATATTTGTTGCACAACATAGTTTTTTTAACGGAAGTAATATATTGACAATACTCAAGGTTCAATTGTAAAATCAACACCATATTTATCACCCAAAGATGGAACTCAAATCCTACTTTATCCAACAGCATATTTGATATAGTGATATTCATAGTGTAGTGATAAGTAGTTAGATCTTCTTCATTTATCAAATTTTACAAATTAAAAACTCTGTTTTTTTTTCATACATTAGAACGATTAGGTTTAGTAGACTATCACTCCATTCATGTCCGCTTGCAGCAAAGGCACAAGCTCTTTCGGTTCCCTTGCTGCGGGTGGATGTGAAAATTCTATTGAAAAACTTAATTCTAATTTAATTCGACTCGAAATATAATATATGAAAGAGAGAACGAACCTAGAACAAATGCAGCAGCAGTCATGCCGCCATGCTTGTTTGGATTTGAAGGCCTGCCTCTCCAATCACCTGCGCCCACTTGTTGTTGTTCTTTGATTCCTCCTTTGTCACTCGCTCTTATTTCTTCCATTTGTGTGTGTTTAACAGAGAGCAAAAAAGGAAGTGAAAACTGAAAACCCAGAAAGCTGACTTCTTGTTGTGGATTTTGAGTTTTTGGGGTACGCAATTGGGTCCTAAATTTATAGCTCCTCAAACTCCCATAGGTCAATGCTTCCATGGCTTCCTGGGAAACTGCTCATTTTTGTTTAAGCCCCACCCGCACTTTAACCGTGTGTGCACCACTTGCGCCTCATTAGCCCTAATTAAAATAATATTTGCCAAAACAATCTGCACCCCAAACATGAAACATGTGATTCAATGTGCAATAAGCGTTTCAAAACATGTTTTTGATTAATTAATAGATAAAAAAACTATTGGATTATTTTAAATAATTTGAATATATATATATATATATATATATATATATATTATAACTTTTAATTACAATATTTAAAATAATTATCTTCAAACATCAAAGAAATTAATAAGAATGAATCAAAAGGATTAGAGTAGATTTTAAAGCATGTTTTCCACGTAACTCCAACGGAGCGTGTGCATTGTACATATGAAAATGGTCTTTGCCTTTTTACCTTCATTTTCTAAGTGGTCCACAACAAATAGTAATAGTCCCTCTCATTTCTTAACAAAATTATTCCTCTGAAAATATTTTTTTCGACTCTGTTTAAAAATACAAAGGTCTATTTTTTATAATATGGAGGTACCAAAAATATAGGAATAATTTATATTTTAAAATGCTTAAAATAAATAAATAAATAGTAGCATTTATAAAATGTTTTTAAAAACTATAACTTTAAATTAATATTTTCTTGAGTAATTTCTTTAATCATAAATTGTTGTTGTGTGGTAGATAGTTAGCCCATACTTGTATAAACCGACATGGTATGGAAATGTGGTGGAGTCAACTGTACTGTAGTAGCCTTTATGGAACCACTTTAGAATTTCGGTGCACATCCATTTTGTTCTATAGATTTCCTCCACCTTTCTCATTTTATATATATTTTCCAGATTTTCCTTTATGGATAATATATATACAAGATGGATGCAAAAATTTATGTTATGATAAATTTAAATTTTTAGAATTACAAGGAATAATTTTAAATTTATAAAATTTTAGAAGCGAAAATAATTTTTTCAATAAAAATATATTTAAAAATATATATATATATATATATATATAATTTAAATTTTCAATAAAACAATTACCCTCACTTGCCCCTTGAATATAAATACTCTCTCCATGTAGATAAGGATACATATTTTATACTAAGCAATTTTAGTGTGGTGGTGTTGAAAATCATCGACAGTGTTATTGTATCGTTGAATTCTCTATCCCATAATGTTTGTAAATTTTTTAATTAATACACTTTAACCTTTCAAATATGATTGTAAGAAAATTTCACCTTTTTCTTTTCTTTTCATCAATCCTAGTTTTTATGGTATTTTATTTTTGTCAAACAAACATATTACATCATTAAAAATTATGAATTTTGTTATGATATAGATTTATAATTATGTTGTTTTTATAGTAACAATAAAATTATTAGTATGATTTATTTATAAAAAGAAATTAAGAGTTTTAGGTTATATTTGTGGAGTTCGAGATATTTTTTTATGAAACATGTATCTTATTCCTGTTTAAGAGGTCAAAAAGAGTGACGCAAAATTATAGGGACCAATGGCCGTTAATGAAGGTGGCCAACAATGACCGATGATGGTGAGCAACATGGAACTTCGATTGGACTTATTTGATATTTATCTTAAATTCAAGAGTTAAATTGATATTTTATTTAAGTTTAGGGGGACATATTAATATTTTATTAGGAATTAAATTAAAATGATTTTTATTAACATATCACAATATTAAACTAAGGATATAAAAACGTTATAAAATGGTATAAATTGATAATATAAATGATCAAAACAATACTTTTTTTAAAATTCAATGACCAGAGATGAAGATTATGAAATGAAAGTGAGCATTTCAATAGTTTACCCATGAATTAATAAAGCAAGAGGCAAAGAAAGTTGTGGGAAATTGGGAATTATTATTGTTTGATTTAGGCAGTGCATTATGAAAGGCTAATAGCTACAAATGTCTGATCTTGTCGGCAGAACATTGAAAAAAAACAACAGCAATATCAATTGTCAACTCGTGTAGAGAATTGAAGATGACGATCCATCTAAATGATGGCCTCCATTATAAACAACTGGTCACCAGAGCTGCCACGTGCTGACCTCCATTGTGAATTTGTAAATTTGTAAATTTGTAATTGTTATTAGGGTAAACTTCACTGTTTGTTGTTAAACATTTACGACACTTTCACAAACTTCTAAAATTTACGTTATAATAACTAAACTTTTAATTCATTTTCATTATGCCACATTAAAGTCTTATTTCTTAAAAAGATCACAAGGTTCTCGAGGATAAGTTTTTAGTGAATTAGGGGTTTACAAGTAAATATAGAGAGATGAAATAAAATATGCAAGTAATGACGGAAAGGAAAGGAAGTAAGTGGGAAGAATGAAAGCCCCCTCCCGCAAGGGAAGGAGGAGCGTAAGGAGTGCCCAACTACCAACCTGTAAGCTCTCTCTTTTGACTTTGTGAATGGATGATTCAAGTGCATAATATTTTAATTATGATTTGGTGCTTTGAATCATACATGTGTATTTTGCTTGAATATTGGCTTTTCCTATGTGGCTTTCATCCATTGTCAAACTACACTTTGACGAATTTATGTCACCAACCAAAACCAATATTCTAAAATTAATGCTAAATTGGAACATATCATATGTCCTTATAAAATATTATTAGAAAATGCAATATCAAAAAAGAAAGATTGAGTGGAACAAGCCCCCACTATTCGGTTGTAAACCAAGAAGAAAATCGAGTTTATTTTTTTATTAAGCTAATGTGATTATAAAATTATATATGTTTTAAAATAATCAATAAATCATTTGACAATAAACATTCAATCACTCTGCTACAATCATTGATGTTCTAACCCCTAACTTTTAAGAACAACAATAATTCCTTTAACCATTAAGATAAGTATGTTCATACAATCAAGCTTCGTTTTATCTTTTATGACTAAAGGTGTGGTTATAAACACGCATATAAGAAGATTTACATGTTGGTACCTTTATACATTTTTGTAGTGTCTTATATATAATTAGTAATTATTAATATTTGTATACAATTTTGAGTGGGAACAAGCTCTAACTATTAGGTAGCAAACGGAAAAATATTCAAATTTTATCTTATCTTTTATCGACTAAAGGGTATGTTTATAAGCACACGTATAACAAGACTTGCATGTTGATAAGATTAGTTTTGTGACTTGTCTTATTATATTATTGTAATCAATATGTAATTAGTAATTATTGACATTTGTATATAACTTTGAATGGGAACAAAAATCCCAATATTAGGTGGTAAACAAAATTTAAAAAAAACTTAAGTTTAATCTTATATTTTGTTTAGGCATAATAATAAAATTATCCTTTAACGTTAGCAGAAATGGTTATTTTTTTATCTTATATTTTTTGTATTTTAACTCCCAACATTTCATTTTAAAGCAAAATATTTCCTGGTTAGATGAAAATTGTTAGTTGACTAATTGTCAATATTTAATACAAACGTTACAAGTCCATATGCGATGTCACTTCAGTAAAAAATATTTTTAGAGTAAACTATAGTTATAATTAATTACATATACAATTATAAAAATATAGTTTAAAAATATTTTTTTGATGATGTGGCATCACATGGACTTGCCACATCAATAGGAATCATTTACCGTGAGTCAACTAATGGTTTTCATCCATCCAAGGGGTATTTTGCTCTAAAACAAAACGTTATTGACTAAAATATTCCAAAAAAAAAAAGGTTAAATCATAAAGTGACCATTTATGTAAACATTGGGGTAATTTTATTATTATGCTTTTTATGTATGGGTGTTTATATATATGAAGACTTACATGTTGATAAAATTTAATTTAATTTTTATATTATGATAATCTCATATATATAAATAATAATTATTGTGTTATAAATTATATTTATTAAAATGGATGTTTGTTGACGAAAACGGGTAAAGAAAACGAAAGAACACGAGAATTTTACGAGGTTCGGCAATATGCTTACGTCCTCGGTGCCTAGGCGGCGCTAGAAGTTTTATTCAATGATTTTTTAGGTCTAGGTTACATCTCTATTTATAATAGAAAACCCTGGTACATAATTACAAAATAGAAGTTTTATAATAGAATTTTTTAGGTCTGCGTTCGCTTCGCTCACTCCGCTCCATCTCCTGTCCTCTTTACTGGTATATTTATGAGCCATATCTAACAATGTTTATATTCATTTAAATGTTTCTTAACTTGCACGAACCAAGTAGCATTCGCGGTAAAGGAATCGTTGTTATTCTTGAGGACTCGGGTCCAAAACCATAGATGTCAGGGGTGTGAGCCTTTAATGTTGAAAAGTTGAGAGTTATCTTCGAACATACATTGTCTTGTATTTATTCCAGATTATTAAAAAATGTTTCTTAATACATTATTTATATAAAAAAAAATCTAACTAAAAAACAAGTATCATCTTTATCTAATCTAAGGTAAATTATCTATCTCTGATTGGTTTTTATTTTTTTTTCTTGAAAGTTTATGTCATTGAATGAAAGAATCGTGTCGTTTTTACTTCTAAAGTTCATACAATTTAATGCTAAATTTAAATAATTTTTATCGTATTATTTTCTTAAAATCATTAACTTTTGCTTAAGTTTATGCCATTGAATAGTTTCAAATAATAAATAAAATTTAAACATTTCATTTAACATGCTTTCTTTAATGTTCAAATCGTTGAATATTTATTATATTTTTTTATTAATTTATCTATTGTTACATTGTTAGCTTTTTATCGTTTTAAAGTTTATATGAATAGATAGTTATTAATCATTTATTTTAATTAATTTATTTATTTTATGATAGTATATCAATGACAAATCTTGCAAAATTAGAATTTGTTGCTCTAGACATTTTTGGAAAGAATTATTTGTCATGGATTTTAGATGTCGAAATAC